GGCCGACGCCTACTACAAAGAATCATTTATTGAATACTCTTACAAATGGTTTAATGGTGCATTTTGCCAGTTTCTGGGAACTGTTGCAACATATTCATTACTGTTATCAGTAGCTTCTATGCTAATGATAACACTTGAAAGATATTTAGCAGTTGTTAACCCTATGAAAAAGTCAGTGATAACTATTCATCAAAATATATGGAGTGTGTGTACTGTTATTTTATGTATTTTGGCATCACTAAGTTATTTTTTGAGCAATAAAGTAAATTCTATTCTTTAAGGTATATCAACTTTTCAAATTCTCAAACCTTTTTTCACTATTACAGCATTATCATGGACAGTCTCTCTATTGTTTTTCAATATATATTCAAAGTAAAAAAATCAATGGTTGGATATTTTCATTTGTCCTCTTTGGAATTTTGAATCCTCTAATAAGCTTGATCATATTTTTTATGTATACTCGTATAATTACTATTGTGAGAGGATCATCAAAGGAACTAGGACAATCAAGAGGAAAAGGTAGTGGTGAAAGAAATGTAAAAATGAGTATTCTTGTCCTATCTGTTTCAAACTTGTTGGCATGGTTGCCCATTACACTCTTAAGTTTGTTAAAAAAATTTCACACAATTAAAGCTGGATAAAAAATATTTTGACTTTCACACTGGCAGCTTTTATAGCTCAGATTACAGAGGTATCCTTTAGCAATAGCATGTATAGTTGGATAGTATTTTGCATACTATTCTCAAATATGACATTGAATCCAATCATTTTGACATTTGGTGAAATTTTACAAAGAATTGAAAATTATAAGCAAAGATTGATTGTAAAAAGGTAAAATATTAAAAGTTTTCCAATGTAGGCTTAATTTTTTCAACTTTTGAATATTTTTTTAAAAAACAATGCAGGATACACTTGATTGAAGAAAATACTATTGATAGTATTAAAAAATGTAATTTCCTATTTCTTTTTAAGTTTATGAGTAGTTTTGAAAAACTGTTATTCTTTCAGTTAGCTCACTGTTAGAGCATCAGTATACTAACTGCTTGACATTTGGTGATCATAATCAATATTTCAATTCCCTTCATACAGGACAAACGTTTTATGCAAATATGATATATTTGCAATGTTGTATATCTATTTCAAAAGCTGTAAAATATATTCAGAGCCTAAACTTTTCACTTTTTTTTTCATAACAAAAAAAATTCTTCAAAGAAGGCAGCAATTTGTTTAATTTTCTGAAAAAAATTTTCTTTTGTGAGGAAACAATAAAATATCATAAAAGAAGTCAATTTGTAATTATTCCATATCTCTCTCTCTCTCTCTTTCTACCTATACCTCAAACAAACAAAACCTCCATCGCTTCTTCTATCATATAGGGCAACACTTTGTTGTTCATTCTATTGTATCGGACTATCTTACTGTAGCTGCTTAGCTAAGCTATATTTGCTTGACAACCATTAAACAACAAAATGTTTAATCATCTTTTCTCTAGGTAGAGAGATAGAATTTTGGTTGAGGTTTAGGTAAGGGTTGCCACCCACTAATAAGAGCTGATTCATAGAACTTTTTCAAATAATCTTTGCTGAAAGACAAGGATGTTAATTATTGACATGTGCAGTCAGTTAGTAGGTGTTATAGTGTAAAGCAAATAAACATCCTGTCCAGTTCACTTTCGGAGTGACTGTATTCATAATGGGTAATTACATCTGATCAGTTTTACAAATAACCAACTACAAGAACAACTACAACTGTTCCCATCAACAACTAACAGAATAGCTCTTTCTGCACTATAACTATGCCAAAATTTATTTCTAAAACCACCTATTTGAGTTTTACATCACATTTAACCAAAGTATTGTCACAATGGCAAATGTGTACACATTTAGGCTGTTATTGTGCAATAATGTTCTAATGCTATTTCCAACATCAATCACTATCTTTTCTGTCTCTTCAAATGATTGAATTATCAATTAGATAACTATTTTAGTATATATATATATATATATATATATATATACTCTGTAACTCTCACGAGACATTGGCAACTGTCCTCATCTGGCATCCTACAACAAATGTTCAATAATGGAAATATGGTTCAATCAAAGCCAACAAACCCTTTGATATTTTTTGACAAACTACTTTGTTTGTTTTCTCAATATTCCATAAATCTTTAGTGCACTTGCCCTAATATTTTGAATGTTTGTAACACGTACAAATGTTCCTGTTCTATGTTTTAAAACAAACAAAAACTACTGCTTGCCTTAGAAAGTCCTGATTATGCTTTTGTTGGAAATAGTGAATTTTATAATTGATGCTGATCAAACAGCAACAGCGCCAGTTTCTTTAGCATCTTTGAAAGCTGATTATAACAATTGTGAGATACATTTGGTTATTGGTGATGAACTCATCAACGTAATATATCTGTAGGCAAGAGTTAAAGTTGTCATATGACCTTTTTGCCTTTTCTCTCACATAATTCTTGTAGATCAGTAGGAAAGTAGCACATTGAAGAAGAGACTATTCTGCTGCTAAACAATTATTTAGCTTATGTTGTTGGTCTGATGGCAAACACTTGATTTCTCGCTTTTCAATATTTTTTTTTCTCTATGATATCCCCTAATCAAAACTCTTTAATAATTTAAAATTGTCTTGTTGACTACATTCTACCAATGAATTCTAGTGTAGCTTTCTAACATCTGCCTCATCCTTCTGAGGCGAAACAAAGAGCTCTGGTTTCACCTTGGATAAAGTTTCACTTTACAGAATGTTCTAAAGAGTCTACCAAAAAAATGGGCATGCAGACTGAACTCTTTTTTTTTTCTATTCAATTAATCAATTTTGAATTTATTGAAATAAGTTATAAAAGAGTTGATCTTCTCTGTAAAATTTTCCTTACAAAACATCCAAAGGAGAAAATGTCTACTTTATCTTCTCCATCTTCAAGAATTTTACTGTTTAGAAAGGAAAATAAAAATTTTCCATCATCATTCTAAAGATTGATAGTTTCAATTTTAGATAAATAAAAAAAATGAGAATTAGATTGAGAAACCTGATAGATGTGTTCTTGTAGTATTTCTTGACAATTAATAGCAATAGAATGTCTATGGGCCGTAACGTATTCTTTACAAAGGTAGTATATGCAGTAAAAATATAGATTTTTTTTAAACATATTTCTATTAATTTGAAATGATCTAAACCCTAGAAACATGAATGTATTTATAGTTTTCTCTCTTTCAAATCTAAGGAAATGAATGTCTATGTTAAAAAAAAGAAAATTTATGAAAACAAAAGAAAAAAAAATTCCAACTATTTGAAAAATGTTTTTCAACAATTGCATTCAAATTTGATTTTCTAAAAATAGAAAAAAAAGAAAAAATTCAAATATAGTTAATTGTAATTTGTGAGATTTAAAAAAAAAAAAACCAAACAAAACATACTTTAATTCAAATTTTTTAATTTTTAAAATTTTTACATATTTAGTAATTTCATTTAGAGAATAAAGAATTGGATTTATTATTGAATTAATAAATAATAAGTAGGAAATGAGTGAAATATATATTTCATTAGTCATCTTTATTGTTATGAAAAATGAAAGAATAGCTAAAATGACAACAACAACAAAAAAACACTTTGAAATGTTGTTTATATTTTTTGTCAAAATTACTATTACACTCACCTAACAACAATATTGGTGTCCAACTAATTAAATATGTATAAGCAATTAGATAATTTGTCCAATGAATTTCAATTTCTTTTCTATTTAACAACTTGCCAAATTTTTTGATATGACTGAATGTCATGTGATAAATTAAACAGTTTAGGAAGCTTAAAACAAATGTAAAACAACCAAATACTAAAAATGAAAAAATCCAACCTTCACCTTTAACATTAGATATTTCTAATGTGAAACAAATTGTTGATTTAGAATAGAAATTCTAGAAAAGAAATTGTCGTTATTAGATCGTTGATTGCCAACGAAAGATTATATAATTTTAACGAAGTTTCATTCGTTAAACAAAGAATAATGTATATTGAAATTCCATTGGCAGCAAAACCAAATAATCCAATTATCCATAGAGATACTTTAACAATTGTAATTGGTATGATTCTTTCACACGATTCCAAATTTTTTGCTATTGGTTTACAATTGACGCCATTAGAAAAGATTTTTTCAACTAGACAACAAATTTGAAATTGTTCACTTTCAATTATTTTGATTTTTAAAATAAATTTTAAAAAATTTTTAAAATATTTAACAGGAAATGACGTTTTTCTCATGAGTATTATTTCCAATTTGCTAAGACTTTTAAAAGCATCTTTTTCAAAATTATTTAGAGTAGTTATAAAATTCAAATTTAAATATTTCAATTGTTTAAAATCTTTAAAATCATCTTTAAAGATAGTTTGAATTTTTGTATAAGAAATATCTAAAGATAATAGATTTGAACATTTGATATTATTCAGAAACTGTAAATCTGTAAAGTGATTGTAAGATAAATTTAAATTTTGTAATAAATTGAAAATAGTTTTTTGGGTTAAAAAGTTTAAATTCTCCAATCTACATTCAGACAACTTTAAATAAACTATATTGTTTATATTTGTTATTTTCCATTTATTTAAATATCTATTTTTAGAAATTTCCAAAGTGATTAGAAAATTTGAATCAATATATGAATTTAATAGAAAATTTCCCAAAATTGATATATTTTTGAAATTTGAATCAATAGATTTGATATTTTCAACAGAAATATCACCATCATTCAAACTTTTATAACATTCTAAACAATAAATAAGTTTTGAGGTACAAAACTTTGAGAGGTTTGCAACTCGGGGAAAAACGCAAAATAAGTCGTCGCTAGCCAATTCACAATCGACAATTGAATTGCAGATTTTCTCAAAGGATAAAAATAAATTTTCATTTTTGCATTTATAAAATCCAGATGGTTTAAAATTTTCTATCAATCAAAAAAAAAAAAAAAACCAATTCAAATTCGTAATTTTCACATAAGTTTCTTCCTTTTACCGCAATCTAATTCGTCATCTCCGTATAAACAGTGATTTATTCCGTCGCAAACAAGTTCAATACCAATGCAGTATCCTTCGTAAAAGCATTTATACTGCTCTTTCTGACAAGATCTATCTAAACATAATTTCTTCAACAGTATTGGAAATCCTGTTCCATTGCTAAGAAAGCCTGTTGAACTGTATTGAATATTACAATAATGTGGATTTTCTTTGCGACAATGCAACGTTGAACAGTCCAATTCATCTTCGTAGCCTTGACAATCTTTCTTCAAGTTACACTGTAAACCTTTTTGAAGGCATTGTTTTTCTGTACTTTGATAATTACAAAGGAATTGAGTTTTTGAATTACAAGCTGCAAATGATAATATCATTTAGTTTTATAGATAAATTAGAAAAAAAAAAACAACCAACTTATTTTATAAATATCTTCAATTGCAGATTCGTCAAAGCAGATTTCGTCACTTCCATCAAAACAATTAAATTCATTATCACAAACATTTTCAAAAGGTATAAATTGTCCATTTTTACATTGAGACCTATTTTTTTTTATTTAATTAGTGTTACAACCAATAAGAAAGTAGTAGTAGTAGTTCAACAACAGACAGACAGACAGACAGACAGACAGTTTGAGCCTTATACCTATATTTTGTGTCTGGTACTCTTCTAACTAAAAATTAAATTGCTGTACAAAAAAACAAAAGATGAAATATACGAATTGATTATTACTGCAATTGCTTTCGTCAGATCCGTCAGAACAGTCTACTATATTGTTGCATACAAGTTTATAATTAATTTCCTCAGTTGTTGTAAAACATGAAAATTTTCCTTCTGAGCATTCAAATTCATCTTCTCCAGATTTACAATCCATAAATCCATCACATTTATAAATAATATTAATGCAGATATTATCCGTTTTACATTGAAAATAATTCTCCCTACACTCTTCCAACGATTCTGGCCTTTTATTCCTCAAACCTTGTCCGTCTGTTGTTTGTCAAAAATGTTTTTTTTTTTTTTATATAAAGTCGGTGTACTTTTGCATTAACCAAAAAACAATATATTCATGATGGCGGCTAAGATAAAGAGAGGATGTCAGGACGATGAAACTTGCAAACTGTTTATGAGCATGGATAGCTTTGGGATGCAATGGAAAACATCCTCAAATATATGATTTTATCCTAATTCTAACCTAGCTCTTTAGATGGCAAGAACAAATCTAGTATACAAACCCTCTAGTTGATGGCAAATTGTGTAAAATATAGAAGATTGCATAAATGGCTTTAGTTCTAAACTGTACATATTATATAACTTATCAGCTGTATCAACAAATACACTGCAATATAAATCATTAATATTGTAAATATCACGTGACTCGAATACAAACTTTTCTGTGCTAATATTCATCATAGAAAATCCTGGTTGAATTAAAAATTTGTTTTGAATATCATATAATTCCCATCTCTTCCTATATGAGCCTACATTCATTTCATTGTTATATTTTTTGCAGGCATCATCAATTTCTTCAGTATCAGGTGAATTGCCAACTATTCCATGTGCATTAATAAGATCTGCTGCATAATTATTAAATAATAAGAGATAATTTTTGTTATGTTTTTTAAAGTTTTTAAATCCTGAAAAAGAAGAAATGTTTTTTTTCTGCTCTTAATATTTTTAAAATAAGAGAAAGAGAGGCTAACTGATGTTTAAATGAAGAAAACTAGTCCATTTCTGTTGTGTTTTTGAATAAATTTTATCAGCTGCCAAAATATATTTTGCAATTGTAACTTTATGAATAGTTGGTAGGTGAGTCAAAGTTAAATTATGCTGATGACACGTTTCCATAGAATTTTCACCATATTGCGGTTTATCAAAGAAAAATAAGTAATAGCAAACATGTTCAAAATGAATTGAAGGATTTCCACTGCAACTAATAACTGTTGTTGTTGTTGTTTATATTTATTCATTGATAGTTTATTTGAGAAAGAAGAAGAAGAAGAAATCTATTTAAATTTTTTTTAACCTCTTTTTGAACATTTTAATGAAGGTAAATAATCTATTCTTTGTTCTCTATTATTTCTATATTGAAGACTGCAATTTTGGATATTATTTGAAATGTTTTTACATTTCAAATGTGTAAATAGCAAAGATGCTGTTGACCATACACCCTCATCATTTATTCTTCTAAATACACTCTGAAATTGTTCATTCGAATCTTCTGTATCAACTGGATGTTTTGTAAGAAATTCAACATTGTAATCAGTCACTTTGGCAGCATCTTGTACTTGTTTATCTAGACTTGAAAGTGTTCCAGAAGTAAAATTGAAGTGCTTACAAATTATTTGCATTTGTTGAAATGTCAAGAAAGTTACATAGTAATAAACGTCATTGTAAAATATTACAGGTCTACCAGTTAAACTTGTTATATTTTCTCCAACTGTTTTCGGAGTAATATAACCATTTGGATTTTCTAATAGTATATTCTCATCTGTTGAGCCACAACACAGTTGCTATAGTAATAAAAGAGAGAAAAAAAAAGAAAACTGTTAAAACAAACTTGAAATTGGCACACATTTAGGAAGGAGAATTATCAATTGGGAATGCTGTCTTTTGACAAAACAATCAATGACCTTTCCATACTTTAGACTACAATTTGTAAAGTAAAAAGATTTTGTTTCTATCATTTTATAATGAATAATTGGGAGTTGTATTAAAGATAATTTTTTACAAATGAGAAAACTAGCAGCTTTAAAATTAATTTCGAAATTAAATATCAACAAATTAAAACCATAAATCTTGGAATTTATGAAATAAAAGTTTGATTTTATTGTTAGATATTCAATAATTCTTTGATAGCTATCAAAATATTTTGCATTGTATTTCATTATCTTAAAATCTTTTAAAAATTAAAAATATGAGAAATCAATAAATATTTTTACAATTTTCAATCAGATAAAATGGATGCTGGACAAAATATCTTTTAAAGTTTCCCTAAGCTTTTCTGTTGGAATGAACATTCTGTTTCAATAGGTTTCAGGCTTTGGTCTTAAAATAGATGATAATAATAATTCATAAGATTTCAGTTTCTCTAATCCTTTAGCTTAGCCCTTTAACAGACATTTTGTCTCTTTTCCAGTCAGAATATATTAAATGGCATTAAATACATATGCGTATATACCTTTTAATTCCATATATGAACAAAGATATTTGCTTTTCTTCATTGATTTATCAAAAGTTACTGAGCTCACAGAACCAATTTTATCAAGCAATGATATAACAGCAGTGCTATTTTCAAATTCTACCTGAAATTTGATTCTTACTTTTTGTTGACTACACAAAACACTTGAATTATATTCTGAAGAAATCTTGTACACTTTTCCTATGTGTCTATACAAAAGTTCAAACAGATTGTTATTCAATTCCCGGACAAATAGATCTGTTATTTTATTGTTTTTTTTATTTTGCATCAATAAAAAGAGTTTAGTTTGCTAAAAGATTTTTTAGAAAGAAAAAATTTCCACTCGACTAAAAAAAATGATTATGATGGTTACTTTTGAAAATTGGAAGATAAATCAAGACTGAAGATTGCTTTTAGAACTGCTCAAAATAATAGATAAAGTCTTTTCTTATTTTGATAGACAGCTAGCAATGTTATGTAAGAGAGGAAATATTTTCTTTATTTGCATAAATTTTAGGCCTAATGAATAATAACAAAAAAGAAAATCTCATACAAGATGAATTTCTTTTAAAGCAGGTTAAAATAATCCTTTCGTAAATCAATTCACCAAAATTTCTTTTTTGAAATTTCATATATCAATGAATGAAGTAGATTATTAATGAAATGGTATGCTTACTTACATCATCCATGTGCTTTCATCAAATGTTAAATGTACAGATTTCATTAGTTTTTTATCCAGAAAGTACTCAATATTGGCATAATTTTGATCGAAGCCCCTATTTTTACACATCGTATTCTTTGCTTTCTTGAATATTTCAAATGTTTTTGAATAAATAACAATAGAATAACTTTCATTAAGTTGAGTACTTTTATAGAAAATATATGTTTTTAAAAAAGCTTTGTTATCTTCATAATTAATAAAATTTAAATGATCATAGACTGAACAAAATATAGATTTTGACCAAAAGATTTGTAAATAATAAAGCAAATGTATTATCATAATATTTTTTGGTTTTTTTTGAAATTCTTAAAAAAAAATTCAAGTATAAAAGAGAAAGCAAAACAAAAGATATAAAAAAGGAAAAAAAACTGTCCAGCATGTGAATTAAACATTAATAATATCCATCCATTGAAAAATATAGCATTAAAAAATAGATTGAGTTGTAATTTGATTTTAAACTATACTTTTTTTCCCTTTTGTATTTATTTATTGTGTTTACTGACTGAAATAATTCAAAACTATCTACATAAAAATCCTTAAGACTGACAATAATTGGGTCAAGCAAAGAACTGGAATGTACAAATATTTTTTACACTGCTGTTGTACAAAAATGGAAAATGGTCGCATGAGATAAAGGAACATCTGATTCTGAAGCTGTTTTACTAAAGATCATTCAAAAAACCATTTCCAACAATTGTTTTTCCCAAATATGTTGATATACATCAACTTTAAACTGTAGCTTTTAAGAAAATACAAGTAAGATCTGAATTGATTGATTGATTGATGACAATTTTAAAAATTGAAAAACCTTTTTACTACAAAACCTTGGACAGACAAATGAATGATTCTGAAGGGGCAAAATGCTAAGAAAAAGAGTGAGTGCAACACCTTAAACCATCAAGTATGTTGCATTCTTCACGTGTAGTTAATACACAACATCTGATGCATGAACTTGACAAAAGTAACAATTCTTGATGATGTACTCTTTGTAATCATTGCATGTTAAAAGCATGTATACAAAACAGTACATAAACAGGCCCCAACCCAAATCCAATATTTGGACTTTTACTCAATGACACAACTCAACAACAGTATAAATAGGCAGAGGGTGAAAAGATCTTCCCATGTAGCAAATATGCCTGCAAATAAATGTAACACCAAAAATTGCAAATTCTGCAACTACTTTGAGGAATCTACTAAATGGACCAGCACTACATTCACTCAGGAGGATGTACATGTCTCTATTGAAGAAACTAAGGGACAAGAAAGGGACTGGTGGCCCCATGCTGGCACATATGTAAGAATGTGGGGTGAAGGGAATGAAATTCCTCCCACTACTATAGATCCCAGGTCAACAACTTAGCTAAGATTCTCAATGAAGTACTAGCAGCTAACTGGTTAGAAGTGAAAGAATTCATTGAAAAAGTAAATGAGTTTCATTGTTTTATCCCTGATGAATTCACAAGTATTTACAAACCCATAGTCCTGGAATTTGGTAATATTTCAATCGAGTTGAATGAGGATTTTACAATCCCTCTACCAAGGGAAGTAGGAGGGGGTCAAGTAGTACCCACATCTCAATCAAATATTTTTCGCCCTGGAGAAACTAAAGGAGGATTACCAAAGATAAATATATAAAAAGTTATCTGTTCATAGATGGAGCCACCCTTTAGGTATTATATAAAGTGGAAAAACATATATTGTTTCAATACCTGATGAAGCTTGGACAGGGCGAAAAGTATTGTGTTCTATTTACAATAAATTTTACTTTTAAAACAAATACTTGTATGTTTTCTTTACTTACCTACAAGAAAACAAGATTGTCTTCACTCTCTTCTTTATACTTTATCTCTCATCAGTAACGGGAATACATATACAACTGTACATTGAAACACAATGGTTGAAATTTGAAAACTTAGACAGTTATATTTGAATTTCACTGTTTGGGTAAACACACACTTGTGGAACTATCTGTTCACCTTCAATTTCTTTGGAATTTACCCCTGGTGAAGTTATGATAACTGTGTACAGTGCTGTTACAGTTTGTTGGCTGATTTGATTTATCACTGACAAATACATTCATTTCGTATTGTCCTGGTTTTAATGGAGATTTAACAACTGCAACGTCGTTCAGTTCCTTCAACCCCAAAAATTGTCCAATTCCAAAATAATCGAAAGATATACCATCCAATTTTTGAAGGTTAGGATCTCCAAAATTGACATTTGCATCTCTTTCATTACACGATTGACCTATCCACCCTCGAAAACATTCACATTCGGAGTTACAACCAATACGCTTTACGCATATGCCATTTAAACAACCATTTTCTTTAGCTTAAAATTTACTTGTCGCTGGCCATTTAAATGATACTGGAATTCGATACAACACTCGAACTGTCATATTGCGCAATGTCCAACTGTTGAGATACATCGACCAAATCTATTAGTTCAATAATTTTCCACCTATTTGCATTCAATT